GTCCCGTGTCTTATTCATTTTCCTCGGCGATTTTTCCAAGCGACACAGGATTTCCTACTTTTGGATTATAATTTGCAATAGACACACATGCGCGCAATGCATAACATATGTACCATAGATTTCTCTATTGAGATGGGTGCTTTTGTAGATGAGCAGAAATATTAGTTCCTTACAGACGAATTAGACTGAATTTTGCAATCAGAAATTGCAATTTCTGGCTCATATGTAAAAACACGTACGTGCATAGTGAAACTAACAGTACATACGTTGTCTCTAACATGAGCCAGAAAATTGTAGTTCCTTATTGCTAAATGCGGTCCAATTTAGTGGCTACGTCGCAGTTTTATTTCGCTTGCAGTTCCGATGTTTCAACTTTTTGCGAAATTTACACGAACTCCGTGGTTTAAAAAATGTATGACCTAGCTTCCATTATTACTCAGTTCGATTTTTTTAAACAGCGGCACTCGTATCATTTTGTAAAGACCTTAGAAGAGGCTAATATCATGCACAAGATAGCCCCCTCCTAACTTTCAAATCATCAAAAAAAATAAAATTCGAATTAAAATATACCGGGAATTGTGCAAATGAATTTTCTAACCGTCACATTCGATCGCTTGCGTTACACCTGTATGAGGCGTCTCCTGTGTAGAATTTTGAGCAAGAGCCTTACGAAATCAGCATTACCATTTTGATTCGAAACTCATTGATGCCTCCTAAATGGGTCAGTTATGCGCTAGTCACAGAATCGTGTTTTGATAGTTTAAGCATATGGATTAACAGCAATTAATTAAGATCCGTCCGAACGCCAAATTCACACGTCCAATGTTAATGCAGACGTCACTCATCGAAAAACGGCTTATGACGTTATCCGCACCGCGGTAGTGCATGCCCTGCTTTCTTCCACCTTAATTTCATCCGTGTTTTGCATTGAGCAACCAGCGCAAATGTGTTTATCACAATCGATAAAACCAAGGTGGGAGAAACCATGGTATACGCACCACTTCGGCGGATGACGTCATACGCCGTGTTTCCCGGTGAGCGATATCCTTGTTACTATTAATTCGACGTAGAAATTTGCCGTTCGGACGGATTTCATGATTTTTTCCAAGTCTTCAAGCTTGATCCATCCAAACGATTCTGTGACTAGCGCAACTGACCCATAGACGCATTTAGTGTGACGTCACATCTCGATTTAATCTCAATATCTCGGAAGTTTCGAACATAGAGGAATCTGCGGGATATAGGCAGGAGGGTGGGGGGATGCGCTTGATGACTATGTATGATGTTGCGAGCTTATTTTACAATCAACTCTTGAAAATGTGATTTCAAACGTTTTGGTAAATGACCAGCTTTCATAATTTTAAAGTCCCGTGGATTAATTGTTTGGTACCAGGCTGGTTTTAGCATTCTTCCGTCAATTGTTCATTTTGGAGGTGATGTTTGTTTGTTGGGGCTCGTTTCGACTTTCGTGTTATCGAGACGACACACTGGAAAAAAAAAAACACGTTGGATCTAGAGTCCAGACTCTTGAATACATTGACAAGAAAATGGACTCTTGATTCAATCAGATTTAAGCTTAAATCAAAAGGAAATCCGCTCAAATTAAGAGGCTTGGTTCTTGATTTAAGCTTAAATCTGATTGAATCAAGAGTATTTTTTCTGGTCGATGGTTTTAAGAGTCTGGACTCTAGATCCAATGTGTTTTTTTTTCCCAGTGCATTGCCGTACCATGACGTCACCATTAAAGATAGATACCATCATAGATTTGACAGCAAGGAGCTAACGGAATTTAGGGAATCGATGAGCTATAACGATAAACATGAGAATTTCTAAAGGGGAACGTCACGGATCGAATAAGGAAACTGCCTCCTTTAACAACCTCGGGTAACCACCTTTAAATTAACTTTAAAAAAAGGAAGAAAAAAAAAACTGTAGTACAATTAACGCACCCCTCTTGGCGTTCCTCCGGTGGTTACAAGCTGATGACTTTTTCAGAAAAAGTATATTGGAGTACTTTTCCCTGTTTCTATGTCAGGCAGAGTTTCACACCTGATCTTAGCTGCGAAACTAGCGTCTTAAGAAGGTAATCCTTTAATTGCCGGGTCGCGTCAAAGTTTCCGAGCAAACCCCATTAATGTCCCGGCTCGGCTTCCTTGAACTTTCGCGCTGCTCTCTTGAGGGGCCCAACTTTTAGGAAAATGTGACGAGTTCCTTATAACTTCAAGTTGCAAAAAAGCCTCCAGGAAAGTGAAGAGACTACCAGGAAAAGTGCTTTATTATGCGTGCGCCTCCTGCCAATGGGTCTCTTGCACACTAAAGATACAGCAAACTATGTAGAGTAGTTCCTGGTAAAATCGAAGGAAAATTACTTTGAGTTCATCAGACATCTATATAAACCTGGCTTTTGATATAAAACGCATAATTCTCTTCACTTTAGTCCTAAAGCCCTTTGCTTTGGCAATTGAACTAAATCTCCATTACTGCGGGGCAGCACTAACAAAGTTTTTGCAAATAAAAAATTCTACCGTAGGTGAATTGCTTTCATTACGTTTGAAGAAAATTTTCAACCTGTTTTAGTCAATTTTTCTCTCTCAGTGATTATTTTTAGCCTTGGAATCGTAAAACATTTCAATGTGCCATTTTTCCTCTCAAAACACGAGCTCTTTAACTTTCTAGATTTGATCCGAAAGATAAAAAAAGTGTAATTTTCTTCAGCATTACACACCGCACAGGATCACACAAATTGTATCCGTAAATAACTATTTTTAGAATTTTAAAAAAAAAGAAAAAAAGGAAAAAAAATTCAAGGCCTCCACTATTATTTTAAAATAATAACCCTACGAAAGAAGGATGAAAGCCACTGAACAAATGCATTTCAAAAACCGGTTAAATAGACCCCTAGATGACGCTCTAGCTGTACCAAAAATCGTTCGACAGAAGAGAGTTAATGGTGAATGGTTGGTTGGTAGATACGTTTATTTGGTGCTTTTAACATTGGTGCTTTTAACATTGGTGCTTTTAACATTTGAGCCATTAACACCTTAGAGGAGAGATCAAAATAGTGTAGCACAAAATTTAATAATTTAAAAAGTAGGGGTCATAGAAGGGTAGTACACAAAATTAAAATACAGGACAAGGAAAGAATACATTAAATTTGGAGATTAATTCGTTTGAAAAAGAGAGGGATTTTATGAAAAAATTTGGGGAGATCAGAAAGAGGAGGGCAAATTTTAATGCCTTGTAACGTCCATGTAAGTATGCGTGTCTGTGAGAGTGTGTGTAGGGAGACATTTGGGTCAGCGTTACCGAACGTAACAGTGAGGGATGAAAGGGGTGTTAAAAAACTGCAAATGAAGCGTTACGTGATTTAGGAATGACTCCTAAACGATCATAAAACGGCTCTTGAACACTTGACAAAAGGCAAAGCTATCAGTTCGAAACTATTTAATTGGAAGACAATATTGCGCTCGGATCTCTTGAGTCAACACGTAGACCATCAATGGGCACAAATGAATTCAACGGAACGGGCAGTGAATTCAAATTTCCAACTGTGGTCAATCAATTGACTAAAAGTTGAGTGCGGAAAGGGGCGTCAAACTTTCTCCGTCTCCCTTTGTCGATTCGCGGGCTCAAAGAAGCTTTGTGTCGAGTAGTCAAAACGAAACCCCCCGTTCGAGTTAACCGAAGTTGCGAGATCAAAATTCGCAAAATGCAAAGTAGAAAAAGCGTCGGATCATTTAAACGAAATTTAGAAAAACGGAACCTTAATTTTCTTTTCTTTGTTACGAGTATGTTTCGTGTCTCGTTTCGTATCACTCTTATGGGAAATAATCAATGATTCATCTGCATCCTGGCGGGTCGATTGTTGATTCGTTGTCGAGTGAGCTTTATCGATGAATCCCTAACTCTGCCATTCTTTTCATTGATTAAGGTAATTCGCTAATGGTCAGGTTACACGCTCAAATTTCCGTCAAAATCCGATCAAAATGATGACCAAGATGGCGGTCGAGAGTTATCTACATTGATGAGTAAAATTAATTAAAACAGCGTGTTGATTGAAATAAGTACGGTTGTGTGGAAATCAGTCGAAGGATGAGCCCCACATCTCCATCATCTACCATCAAATTTTTGCAGGCCGCAGAAATTTGATGGTAGATGGTGCGCACCAGTCACCATTTGATCGGGAAGTGATGGAAATTTGAGCGTGTAACCAGCACATAACGATTCAACCATCCAAACCTTAGTTGGTGTTTGATGAAACTGTCCGCATAGGAATTGCTGTAACTCTATGTAATTTTGCACAAAGAAAAATTTTCTGTTGGATCAATAGAAATTCTAACTGATAACTCCCTGACGAGAATTCTCTTTGACTCAACATGATGATAATGATCCGCGCAGAAACTATTCAAACGTCGGGGACATTATGTTGCTTTCCCTCAATTTTGAAGGGAAACTAAAGGCCTAACTACACTAATTTGGTTTACTTTGCGCTGAGATGGGTAAACTACGCACGTCAGTCACCTAATTTTTGGTGGTTGCATTTCACTGATTAATTAACATAATTGTTTAGTGACAAAATATTGTATTGTTAATAACACTGATCAGTGAGCATTTATTAGGCAAAATTTAGGCAAAGCATATCAGTATTGAGCCTCCGAGAGAGATCTCATTCACTGGAAAAAAAAAAACACATTGGATCTAGAGCCCAGACTCTAAAAAACATCGACAAGAAAAAGTACTCTTGATTCAATCAGATTTAAGCTTAAATCAAGAACCAAGCCTCTTAATTTAAGCGGATTTCGTTTTGACTCTAGCAAAAATCCGATTGAATCAAGAGTATTTTTTCTTGTCAATGTTTTAAGAGTCTGGACTCTAGATCCAGTGTGTGTGTTTTTTCCAGTGTAGATCATTTTGCAATTTGAGGGGAATGAAATTACTTTGGAGTGTATTTAATTGTAATTTTGATTGATGTCTAATTGGGTGTTTTGCGTGTGTTTCAGTGGGTGATGGAAGCGGTCTTAGTCAAGATGATGGGAGGATGAAGAGACTGTACCTGCTTTTGCTGTTGTGCACTATGACGGTGGTTGCTCTGCCTGCAGCGTCGGATTGGTCGGACTGCCCGAGCGCGTGCCGCTGTGTCTGGGTCTACGGCAAGAAGTCGGTCCTCTGTCCGGACGCCGGCTTCACGACTGTCCCCTCCGTCCTCCACGCGGAGACCCAAGTCCTGAACCTGAGCGGCAACGCCATCCCGTACCTGGCCAAGGACGCCTTCATCAGCGTCGGCCTGCTCAACCTCCAGAAGATCTTCCTCAAAGCCGCCGGCGTCCGCGAGGTCCACCGCGACGCCTTCAAGGACCTCAAGATCCTCGTCGAGGTGGACCTCTCCGACAACGCCATCTCCACCCTCCACCGGGACACCTTCACCGGCAACGAGCGCCTCCGGGTCCTCTGCCTCAGCGGCAACCCCATCTCCGAGCTCCGCCCCGCCCAGTTCCCGCCCCTCCCCCACCTCAAGCACCTCGAGCTCCACAACTGCCGCCTCGCCTCCGTGCACAGGGACGCCCTCCGCCACGTCACCAACCTGGAATACCTGAACCTCAGCGGCAACCGCCTCGAGACCATCTCCGAGACCGTCTTCCGCAACACCTCCAACCTGAAAACCTTGCATTTATACAGCAACAGGTGGCGCTGCGACTGCCACCTGGCGAGCTTCCGGACGTGGCTCCTGGCGTCCAAGCTCTACTCGCGCTCGCTCCAGTGCTGGGAGCCGACCGAGCTGCTCGGCAAGAACTGGGAGGAGGTCAACGTCGTGGAGTTCGCCTGCGCCCCGTGGGTGAGCGTCGAGGAGAAGCGAGAGCAGAAAGAGATCGGCGGCAACGTCACGTTCCACTGCGAGGTCCTCGGTGATCCGGAACCCACGGTCAGGTGGCTCCAGAACGGCAAGGACGCCGCCAACCTTAGCGAAAGCCACGAGCAGGTCCTCCTCCTGGAGCAAGAAAGCATCGACCAGGAGGACCAGGATCAAACGAAGAAGCGAACGTCTCTAACAGTGCTCAATATCTCGGAGTCGCACGCCGGCGAGTACACGTGCGTGGCGGTGAACCTCCGCGGCTCGGCCAACGACAGCGGCTCCTTGATCCTCCCCGAGAAGGCCGACGGGATCACCTACTCGCGGACCGAGTCCTGGTACTTCCACATCGTCTGCGCCGTCGTCTCCGTCGTCTCCGTCCTGGTCGTGGCCGCCAGCACCTGCTGCTACTGCCACCTGCGACGCCGCGGCGAGTCCCGGCGGCACCGGCGGAAAGCCAAGCTCATGAGCTCGATGAGCTTCAACGACCAGGAGAAGAAGCTCCTGGACGTGAGCATCGCCACGTCGACGGATCGGCAGACCGGGAGCCTGGACGGGATCAGCTCCCACGCGGACATGGAGATGCTGGAGCAGTCGATGCAGTCGATCCCGTTGGAGCCGCCCGTTCACATCACCATCGAGTCGCACCCGCCGACGGACCCCAACGCGGCGCTCGTCTACCCGCCGCCCCCGGAGTTCTCCACCTCCATCCTCCCGGCCGGGGCCTTCGGGAACATCTTCATCTCGGTCTCCGTCAACCAGGAGCCGCACAGCCCGTGTCCCTCGGACATCACCAAGTACCCTGACCTCTTGGACATCAACCCTAGCAAGTCCACCGTGAGCGTGGGCACGGGGCCCAACACCCCGTTGACGCAGTTCTACACGACGCTACCGCGACGGCCCCGCTTGAAGCCCGGGCCCCCGCCGCCGGGGATCCTCCGCTCAGGGCATCCGCGGCTGACCTACGACAACATGGGTCCCCGGGTCACCGCTGACGGTAGCTCCACGCTGTCTCTTCCTGATTCGGCCTCGCAAGAGGACCTTAGCTCTTCCATCCCTACCCCTCCTCCTCCCCCGCCCTCACTACCTCCAACCCTCTGCTCGTCGATGACCGTCGAGTATGTCGCTTTATAGCTGCCTCCGCCTCACGACTTTTCCATGTAGGGTTACATGATCAGCTGTCGGTACGGGAAACTTCCATCGGTGGATTCAAGTCGGGTTTCATGCCTCCTTTTATACCTGAATTTTCCTTCTCATAAATTGGTATCCGTTTTATTCTTGATAGTTTTTCGATTTTTTTATTGATGGATTAATCGAATCTTCGGAGCATTGATAATTCATTAATCGATTAACAATCTAATCGAATCAAAATCAATCGATTATTCAATTTAAAAGTGTGTAAATTTTCAAAATAACAACCTGTACAACGGGATACCCGCCAGGGTTCCAAGGTGTAAATCAGCAGGTGCACTGGATTTGAGAAGGAAAAATCATAGGTGCTGAACATTTTTCACGATACTGTAGCAAATTAATGGCATTGAAAGACATTTGATGAATTAATTGACTAATTGCCAACCGAAAAACTCAAATCCTTAATTCCTCCCTGTCGGAATAAAAGAGTTTTTACTAAAATTGCTTCGGCACCAGTTGATTTTGCGTCAGATTCAACAAACTGTTGAGGGATAAGTGTTGAGGAGAAAAACGTGAGTTCTTGAAATAACTTGTATTGAAAAACGTATTCAGAGAGATCACAATTTCACAACACCTTCTCATATTTTTCCCTCGTATTTTAAAATTTTCATTTAACTCTCACTAGTCTCATTTGGGATGGCTGGATTCAGTCCACTTTTCAACTTTTAGTCTTTATCCTCCAGGGTGTTGACACTCCCTCACTTCGCAATTCAAATTTTTTCGAAAATCAGCTTCTAAATTTTTTTCAAAATCCATTTCCATTTCACGGTGAGGAAAGAACGTATACTTTTTGTTTCATGTCAAATCGTCACGCATTTACTGTCAAAGACGCACACAAGGGCAGCATAAAATCATGTACAAGTCTTTGTTTATTACTCATAATTTTTTCCTCGCTTGATTTGATTTGAGAAAGACCTTCTCTGTATTTTTAATTTGAAATATCACCCGCCGATTTTTATATTATTGTGAGCTCACTGAGCCTCTAAGTTTTCATTTTTTTTTGTCACAGTCCATTTAGTGTTCTACCAGTCCGATTTCCATAACTTTTGCGGCCATCGGCAGGTGATAGTTCCTAGGTGGGTCCGCTCTATTCAGGTTTTGCAGATATGACCGTGCCATAGTTTCTTATATCAAGTGATAACATTGTGAATTCTACCATTGAAACCTTGAAAATGTTAATTTTTGTCACATACTGTTATAAAGATCCACGGGACTGATTTACATGATTTCCGCGGCTATTTTCTGTATGTTTAGCACTAATGACATAAAATAGGGACATAAGCATTTGTTTATTCAGATTTTCTTATTAGATTTCCTCATTCTGCATGTTTAAATGGATCATAAAATCTGCAATTTTGAAATGAAAATGGTCCGCTACTCTTTCTAACCGGAAATTTTAAAGAAAATTGTTTTTAATGTAATTTGTAAAATAAAACGGTTTATAGTAAAGAATAAGAAAACATCCATTTTACAAATGAAATCGTATCCTACGAGGCTAAATGTTAGCGCAAAACAGAAGGAAAAGAGAAAATGCGGTTTTCATGTTTACACTCACTATTCCTGGAAGTTGTCAGTTGTCAACATCCGTGAAATTATTTAACAAAGACTAAATTATGTTTATATCTTCTGTGAGATGATCACTTCATAGTTGTGAGAGGTGGAAACTTTTACCACGAAATCTCAAATACTGCGTTCTCAACAATTTCAGTTGCCTCAGCTCGGCACCTTGCTGTGAAAATGTCGCATTATTACCGAATGCCGATCTTTGGAGGATCATTTGGACTTTTTTGTACCGATTACCGAAGAGAACTTCGAATGATAATCGAGTATAGTTGGAGGATTGCGATGCTTAAAAATCTCATCTTTTTTTTAATTTTTTGGTAGAGAACCGACAAACATTCTCGCTTAAAATGTTGTGGAGGGACCGTTCATTTGGGTTAGAAAAATTTTAACTGTTTCCAAGTCAGGATGTCAGTGGACTTCCCTCCAAAAATTCAAATAAAAGATCAGATTTTGAAACAAGCAACGAAGATGTGGCTGTTTTGTTTAACTCAATCTATTTCTACTTGAGAAATTGTTGTATGATCCTAGAGTATCTTGGCAGGTCTCTGATGATCTTTGATGATGATTAATTCTCACTAGCATGGACAATTATTGTAGTCATAAAAATACGCTTGAAAAATTTCAGTATTACCCGAACTTTTTACACTCAAAGGACACCTGAACCCTCTGTTCCCTGTATACCGGAGAATTACTTGCGTTTAGTAATTCGGCAGCGTGAAGTGAACGAAAAAATTCTACTTTCTAGTATTAGGCTGGTGGAGTTTTGTTTTTATACGATTTTGGCTCACCATGATATGTAGATACAGTAAACAAATGTAGATAACTGTAAACGTGGGGCTTTTTTTTCTTAACTTTGCTCGCGGCTCTAAGTCTCAAAGACGGGATATGTAAGAGGATTTTAAACGCAACAGATTTATTCCCATATATCAGGGTTAGAACACTTGTGAAACATTGCATTTTTTTCTATTTTGGTTTCCCTCGAACTGGTGAGTTTTTCCAGTGTCCTAGAAGTGGTGGCGGCATTTTTATACCGGCTTCTTGTATGATAATAGTGTTACCGAAGCGTACATTTTGACTTATGCACTGACTGGTTTTGAATGATTCAGAAACCAATATCAACCAGCCTCTCTATCTCTTTTTCTACTTCTTTTACAAAAAAAAAAAAAAACCAGAAATCTGTTGTTTCCTATCTTTCCGCCAAATTCCCGTAAGACATCTTATTTATACTGTGTAATTATTTTTTTACAAGTCATTAACTGCGTAATGCATTGTAAAATCTTTGATCATTTATTTTGTTCGTTTAAGTAACGCCTTATAACTTTAGTTTAAAAGAATATCGTTTTACATGATAGAATAATACCCAAGATTTTTTTATGTAAATAAAAATAACTCAATCTGTAAACCTCGAAGTTAAATGTCTTCTTTTTTCACCTCTCAAACTCCAATTATTTATAATGGTAGCCATCACCATGAAAGAATACCTACTTACTGATCGTTGAGCGTTTGGCATATTTATAATCTCAGCAATGCCGTTTACGGAATTAAGTAATAAAGTCAAGATTCTCTCTTGAATTTTTCTCTCACAAAATAGGAAAAAAATCCCAAGACCATACGTGTAATAAATCAATTAAACCTCAGCAATTTTTTAACAGAAGAAAACGAATGCCGATCATAGAATGTGAACGCAAGAATGTTTTACACCGTCAGTCTACACCAGGAAAAACAGTCTTCATTATATGTTGATACCATACCAAGACATTAATGCCAGAAAATTTGTATATTTAATTAAACTGTATCATTCAATAAGGAACTACCATTTCCGGCTCATATACAAAAGCATTAATCTGTTAGGTAATCAAATGGCACCCATGTTGCTTCCAAAATGAGCCTGAAATATTAGTCGCTCTTTGAAAAATTTGGACGAATTAATGTGTTCATTTTCACATTTTAATAAGCAACAAAACGTCGGCAAAATGCTATTTTTTCCCCAAGTGACCGCAAATTGTCCGACACATACACATGATCTCCGAGGCTTAAAGTGAAACGATTTTGCCCGTTTTGGCTAGAGTGCGAAACCACGTATTTCTATTTGTGACGTCGCAGACTTACTGACATACTTGAGATTTTTTTCTTTGAAAACAGGTGAACGTAACTTCTGGAACGAATCCTTTATTTTTGTCCTCTCTGAAAGTAAAATACTCTCTATAAATTTCAAGCTATTAAGTTGACTTGTTTCACTTTAAAACAAAAAATAAAAAGGAGCGGAAATTACGAAACATCACAATAGAGGTACGAGGTTTCGCATTTTGGCCATCAATTTGGTTTGCCTAGGCGCCGGTCAACTTTGAACGTCTCCATCAACAAGTTTAATAAACAGGACCGCTGAGGAAAACGACACGTAGTTAAAGTTTGAAAGGAGCACGAGGAAAGTTTCTAATCCCAACTTTAGCGTGATGGGATGCCCTATAGTTTTATTTCCCGGGCATTTGATTTCCTTTATCCTCTTGCCTTGTTGTTAAGACTTTAATTACCTACGTCACTGTGCAAGATGAGTGAATACATAATACATGGGATACGTAATCTATTTGATACATGAATGATTTGTCCCTGTGTGAGTCAATCTGAATGTAATACTTAGTAAAATGTAACAGAGCCTTTGAAAATGGGTCTTCAGACCAGGAGATAACGACATAGCTAATTAAACAGTCAAGAGGAGCTAATTCTACAGAATCGGCGCAAAGCGCACCTAGGAATTCCAAAAATTCAACAATTCAGAGGTTGAGAACGAAAAGCCAGGGATAAGTACGAGCTACGTTTCCATGTTTTTTTCTTGAGATTAAGGTTAAAAAATGACTCATTGACATTAAGTTCAGAAATCAACTCATAAATAAGAATTTAAAATTAAAATTAGTTAAATGTTAAGAATATCGACGGTGCAACTACCAAACCACGTATCTCGTTTGCGGTGTTTAAAAATCTACGCTCACATTTTAATTTTTTGAAGTAGACCAAATCAATATCATTCCTTGAAATTTTCACGGAATTTTCTCCGCACAAAGAGGTAAAATCACAGAAATTTTCAAGACTGGATGTTAAGTAGTTTTTCATTTAAAAAATAAAGTATGACAGGAAGTCTGCGATGTCGCAAACCGAGATACGTGGTTTGGTAGTTTCACCGTCGATATAAATGACGTTATTTGTATCAGGGCCGATTTAACGCTCAGGAGCCCGGCCCAGGTCGGGCCTACCTCTAAAATTTAAGGGCCCAAGCCACCTTGAATTCCAGGCTTAGGGGCTCTCCAAATCTGTCTTTTGGACTCCAGGCCCCCCTGAATGATCTGGAATAAAAAAAAAATACCGCCAAACGGCCCGTGGCCCAGCTAATCCGGCTCTGATCGCATTGGCGGATTCAGCAAATCGGCAACATTCTTTTTCTCCCTTTGAACCTATGGAAATGTATCGATTCTTGGAGGGGCCAGGTGCTCCAACAAGAATCGATTATTTGACTTATTTTATTCGATTTTTAATCATGTGTTGCTAAATTGCTGGATCCGCCTTTGTCTGTTAGGGTTATTTCACAGGGGGCTAGTTTGGCTCCAACCCTATCCGGGAACTTTATATTTTAACCCCGAAGTTTTACTCCATCCAACTCCTCTCGATTTTTCTCGATTTTGAACTGGGGAAAAAATTTCAAAATTATAGTCGAATGGTTATCGGACATTTCGTCAACGATTTTTTGTCTGCGCACCTGGGTTTTCCAGTAATTTACGTCCACGCGTTTTTTCGGCAAGGGAGTTTTGGTCCACGTGCCAGTTGAGACCCAAAGTTAATTGGCCCACATGTAAATACAAACGGCAATTGCTCAAGACGTTTTTGGATGAAAATGTACAATGTCTTGGAAGAATGAGGGTATGCTTGTTTTTTTTGTTGTGTCTGTTTGGTCCAACGGAGAATTACATATAGTTGAGAGTTTTGGTAAAATGGGGGAGCGTCAATTCCATGAGACAAAATTCACTAAAACCCTCTACACCTCTTTGGTCTATCAGGACTTAATTATCTTTCAAGAAATTCCCTTCTTGTTATACCTGAACCGGATAAACCTCTATATTTGCTTCAGCTAAAGGCTCTTAGATTTCTCATGCGTACGATAAGTATCTTTATTTATTTTGCGAGGAAAGATCTGTACTTTCAAAGGATGCCTGTCATTCTTGATACATTCAATTTCGTATAATACTTTACAACACCTCTGTTATGAAATAGTTGCTTCAGGCGCCGCCGCACGGCGGGCGGGCGGGCGGGCGACCAGCGCGAAACGCGCATTAGCGCCTACAAATCTAAGTGGATACTTCAAGCATTGTGCAATGCGTGAAGTATATACTTAGGTTTGTAGGCGCCAGTGAGCCTCTCGCGCTGGCAGCACGCCGCTCCGCTCTGTTAGGCTTTAATATTTATACTCGCATAGTCAGCGTTTTTTAACTCATGATTTTGAAATGTTTGCACACTCTGCATTGATAATTCTCATTACATAGTCAACATGCGGAAGTGTCTGTTATATTTTTTCGCTCGAGGTCAAAGCTGAACTGCTGATTCAGCAATCCTAAACTTACATTTAAGTACACATACATGCATATCACATAGACAAATAATGTAAAATTTGCACCTTTGAACTCAAACTAAAACGTTCACTGGAAGCGTGTATTATGAAGAGATTTCACACCACAACATGTCGATAAAATCCTAGGGTTCTCCGAAAAGGACAAAAAAGGTCCTCTCTGGAAGCTTCTTCGTCCCATCATCGTTTGAAAATATCACCATGGCCATGAAATATATGAACTCTAAAACTCATAAATAATCAGTTTCAACACCATGAGTGTTGATGAGAGCGCTCAAATCCAGGTTAATACTCGGTGAGAGTTAATTGACTATGAAAATGAACAATACATACCTCGATCGCAAAGTTTAATAATTCCAGAGCCACAAAGAAAACATTTAGGTTACGCCCGCCATTTTGGATTTTGTAAAGACTGAAAATTTGAGTTTCATGCCCAATAATATCCCCTTGATACGAACTTTCAGAACTTCGATTGAAGAGGAACCAAAATAGCACGTTTAGCCACATCCGCTCCGCCATCTCGGATTTCAAATTATGAATTGAACTAAAAATTTCGAGCTAAAAAGTAAGAAAGACAGAGTAGATTCATTTCAACGGAAACGTGTAACATTTACATTCAAGAAAAATTGGAAATAATTTCCCTAAATGTTTATAGGTTCACGAAATTATTTGTGAAGTTTTGTAAAATTATACACGTTATTTTGGAAAACCTGTATTTTATTAGAAGAAATTGGGCTACATCAAATTATCCATAAGCAATGTTCCGCAGCATGGCTGCCTGTCGTATTGAAAGAGGTAAAGAGCGTTGAAAGTTCTATTGATCGAAGTTGTAGGAAAGTGTATACAAACTCAGGAGTAGGGCGCCTTCAATTTGAGTGATACTTCCCGCTCTGACGTTGAGCTAGTTTAGTTGCGTGACCTAACTGAACCCAACCTGACTCTATTGTGATCGGTTCTCGAGCCTTGAGACTGAGCAGCATAATAAAAGTCGGGCATTTAGTAAAAGCAAAACTTGTTCTAATATTCCAGAATTACTTTTTATGTGATACTAGGGGCTTATGGGGCTGCTTCGCAGCCCCTTATTTTTCCTGTACACTTTTCACTTTCACATGTTTTTTTTTTTTTTTTTTTTTTTTTTTTTGATATGCTTTATGAAATTTGGAGAATATAAAAATAATGATTTCAAATCGGTATTTGTCCGAATACTCGGTAAAGAAATTAAGCCATTTTGGCAGCAGTCATTAAAATGACCATTGTACATTTCACCCTGAAAATGGCGAGCATCACAATGATGACAAATTATATTCATTGAACCGACTGAAAATTTGGTAACAAAATTTTCATCAAAGTTCTGATCATCAATTTTATACTTCCGAAATGAAGAAATGAAACTTTGATTTTCTATACTAATAACAGAGTTAAGTTCTTGCTTCACTAAACGAACATGCGAAGAATTCTGGAAAACGCGACCACGTTTTGGAGGACGACCGCCTCGGTCATTGAAAATTTCACTAATTACAACTGTTAAATTTAAAATTAAAATTAGTAAAAATTATTATTATTTTAACAAAATCATAACTGAAAAGTTCAATTTTTAAATTAAAAAAAATAAATCAGAAGAAAAAGGATGAAATGAAAATGGAAATTAATAATAAACATATTTATACACATTGAAAAGAAACAGCGTGAAAAGTTCTGATCGGAAATGAGAAAAAAACTTGGAGGTTATTGACTTAATGAGGAAAAATTGGCAATAGGAAAAAGATGGAACCAATCATGAAAAACCGTAAAAAAAAA